CTTCGGCCAGGACGAATTACTGCCGCAAAATGATGTATTGGAATTCTTGGCGAAAATCGGCTGCGACATATTCCACTTTGAGGAGGTCTGTGTCAATATAATATTTTCGTTGGTAGGATTCGACGAAGAACAATTCGATTACGTAAGCATTTCACAAACCGTGATTAAAATGCAACTTTGATCAGCGATTCGAATGTCACGCACACGCGATCACACTTCAGGTCGAATGTTATACTACTTAGGCTCTGTTACCTACGTTTCTGAGTCACTTTCCGGCTGGCAGCTCAACCAAAACGCTGGTGCACTACTTGCATGAAGTCCAATCAGGTAAATTTCGCCAATACGATTACGGGCCCGAGAAGAATCAACTGATCTACAATGCAACAGAACCGCCGGAATACAATTTAGCGAACATCACCGTGCCGGTTGCGTTATTCTACGCCGACAACGATTGGTTGGTCAGTAGTCTGGTAGGTAGCGATTAAACGCGTTTACACTGAAGAAACACGTGGGACATACATTTATATTAAGAATTAATTCTCATTAATGTTGTAAATTACATTTTATACGCAGAGTCATGCAAGAAAAATAAGTTAACGCATGATAATTCATGATATTTTTCTCAAGGACGTGAAGAAACTTCATAGCATGTTACCCAATGTTTTGGACTTGTACAAGGTACCGTTTTCTAAGTTCAATCATTTTGATTTCATTTGGGCAAAGGACGCGCCTGAGCTTGTGTACAAGAGACTGCTCAAGATCATCAAGATTGGAAAGTCAGATAATAAAAATAAGAATGAATGGGATATTAAATCTTTGCGACCATGGCCATAAATTGAAAGCAATTTTTAGCTTGTAGTATCTTGAAATAGTTGTGCGTAGGTGAATTAAAATGTGTTATTTTGGCGCTTCTATCATTTGAATTTCAATCATAAGAGGATTATAATATAAGCAAAAATGTACAAAAAATTATAATTTTATTATCGACACTTTTTATTTATATTGTTGCGCCTGTGCTTCGAGCGTCGAAGATCTTAAACCACCGTCTGCTGACGTTGGTTACGAGAGAGTAATGAATATTCCCATTTACGAGTCGTTGCTACGGAAATTAGTAACGGAGAAATTGAAGTTATCGTGCTGTCAAATCGTTCGGACGTGCTCCCGGTGCATT